TTTATTTATAAGCAGGAATAATGCAGGATCATTTAATGGATCAGTCTGTTAGCTACCTGGTTGTGCTTTGGTGGCATAAAAAGAAGCACAAGAAAGTACCTTAAAATCTAATTAGAGATTTTTCCTGCCCATGGGAGTATCTCCCCGGGGACACAATATAACAGCCACAGTTGGCTCTGTTCATAGTTAAATTCTCCTCTCTCTTCTTTCCCCCTCAGGGTACAAAGTGGGTACTCTATCCCAGCCAAAACCAGTACAAGCTGAAAGCACACTGGGCTCTAGTGATCTTGGGCTCATGAACTCTTGGGAGCGTTCTGGAAAAACCTGTTAGCAGACTCTTTCATTCTGCATCTGTATGGCAACCACCACAATGAATACTTGTGTGTGACGTTTTTTTATTGGACAGTGCCGACTGCAGTTTCCCACAAATAATTACTACAACAGGCACAAGTTGGAACAACCAAGTGGTATGTCTGTGGCAGCAGGTGTCAGCCTTCCCTCTTCATAATGTTTCCCAAGAGGGAATGTCCTTTGCACCCCTGAAGACGATATTATGAGAAGCAAGTTTCTCTGCACAGCTGGGGCTTTAGCAAGTCCTGAGTATGCTGGAAGCAAGAGACGTAAGAGTCTGACGATGATCACAGCACACACAACTCTATATATGCTTTACAGCCACTGCCATGATTATGGAATTATGTAGATGAACAGAAGTTAACTGTAAACTACCCATAGTAGGCAGAAGAAGCAGTCTAGCCATCATGAAATACAGCACAGGTTTATCACACAGTTATTTACCTGTCTCACTGCCTGGGCTGAACTTCTTACTGCACTGAGCAAAACAGACTCATGTAAAGCTAGGTCAGCTATGTCCACATTACAGTCTCTACCTAGGCCTCCCATGCAGACACATTCATTACAACAGAAAGAAAACGGTTGAGATCACCCAGTATGACATTGCATGTAACACCAGCCATGAAATAATTCTTGTGGGATCTGAAAAATAATCTGAAAAACCCAAGTCTTACTTGAGCTCCCGGAAACCCTGGTGCTCCTGGAGAACCTGGAGAACCTTTTGGACCTGTTGTTCCCTCCCTACCTGCAAAAGAAACAGCATATTTTGTAAAGAAAAATGAAAACAAGGACATGGATTTTGACAAGCTCCGATAATCACACTCAGCATTGAATGTTTCTGCTTGTTACACTGACTGTATCATCATAGACTGACCTGGCTTCAGGCTGCACCTAAGCCTATTAGCGTTCTCACTGCACTTCTTTTAGGGCTTGTGCTTGTATCAGTGGATGGAGCTGCATCAGGCTCTCACACTCATCACAACCTCAGGACTAGTTCAAGGACTGCATGCTGCAGACACGCCCATACCTGATTCTCATGCTAAAAGCAAAATCATTGGCATTTCCTACTATCCTGTTAGAAACAACAAGATAATTTACCAGGCATGCCATCTTGGCCATGTTGCCCAGGAGAACCAGGAAGACCAGGTATTCCTGGAATATAGCTGCAATCAGTACACACACAAGCTTCATCACCTAGAATGAAAATAATTCATTAGTTGTTCCACAGCAAGGCATTCCCAAGCTTAACTAATGTGTTACATAGTTTGTTATAGAGCATGGCTAAGACTTTTTGGCCATACAGCAGGAGGAACATGGCCTTAATTTTGTTGGAAGATCATTTCCAACACAGTACAAAATTACTTGTGGTCAGACAGTGAATCAAAACTGATTATATTTAATTGAAAATGAAGGAACATTCAGTTTAAATCTCTTGATTTTTTCAAGTCTAGTTTTAGTAAACCATTTGGATATAGTCACTCTACTGGTAAGCCAAATTCTCTCAAAAGAAGAAAGGGACATAGGCTTCAAACTAACATGGCTCCATAACAGCCTGGGTGACTTCAATGACTGATGAATGGCAAAAAGATTCAGCAGCTCCTGTGGTGATATTTGCAGAAGGAACCTTCTCTGAGAGAACAACTGTTAGCATTGAACATAACACCAGGAGAATACAAAAACCCTATCAACCTGTAGTAATTGTTTGTCCGAGTGAAGATCTACACCCTGGCTGCAGTGCTGTACGACTGGTGTGCAGCACTGGCACATGCACTGCTCTTTTAGCTGCTGTTTACTGTAAGGGGAGGAAGACATCTTGCTATCCCTAATTAATTTTCTTAAATCTCTGAACTCATCAAATGGCTTAAGAGGTAAATTAAATTCAAGATTTCATGAGGATCCTTGAAGATACTGGATTGTACCATCTACTTCTGAGTAATAGTTTTCTGAAACTGACCTTTCATGCCAATATCTCCTGGAGGTCCTGGAGGTCCTGTACACCCTGGCTCTCCAGGAAGTCCTGGTAGGCCTGTTCTAAATGTTACTCTACCTGTTAATGAAATGAGCATGGCACCATTACATCAGCAGATTATTGAGACAAGTCTCTTTTTGCTCAGAGAGAAAAAAGTTGCAGGGATGAGCTGGAGACAGTATTCTGATCCTTATGGGTCCCTTCCAACTTGAGATATTCTATGATTCATTTAAAAGAGAGAACTACCTGGACAAATCCAAAACACCTGTAACTGGAAGTACTTGAGGATAAATATGGTAATGCCATATTACTCAAAATATATTCTATGTATGTATTCTAAGTAATGTATTTATATAATCTCATACATTAGATATTGAGATGACTCTAGATTTGTTCTTGTTCATTATATACACAGTACTGAAACATCACCTGGTTCTCCTGGAGGACCTGGTAATCCAACAGAACCAGGTCTACCGGTAATACCAGGTAGTCCTGGAGGGCCTACAATACACAAGCCAGTTTGTCCTTTCTCTCCTTTTGTTCCTTTTGGCCCAGGAAATCCTGGGGGACCTCTCAGACCGGGTCTTGACACACCTAACCGAAGAGGAAAAAATACAAAAATGAAGTTAAAGAAATGGAATTTCAAAGCAAAGTAAGTACTCAATAGGATGAGTGTGATTCAAACATACTGAGTTCATCCCACAAATCTTTTTTATCTTGTAATTATTGTATTAAATGATCACAATGACAATGCAAAGACATTTAAAAATTATCTTTAACCTCTCTTTAAAAACTTGGCCCATCAAAGCTTTTGGGTGACAATTTTTTACCACTTAGAGATATGTTTAAAGTCATCTGAAGTTAAGATTCCACAACGCTGATTCAGTATAATGGGCAGGAAGAACGATGTATTTTATTGTTGGTACTGGACCATTACACGTACCTGGTCTACCAGCATCTCCTGGAGGACCCTGTGGCCCTGGAAAAGCAATGTATTTAGAACTTGAGTTAAACCACTGTATACTCTGCAAAGTCACTACTCATTAATACTGACTGCAAAATTTGGGCTTCTGCATTTTATCTTTTAAGAATTTGGTTTTGCCTGAGTAGGCATCTACTACTTATGCAACTGTTGCATACTGACAATTCTCATTGAAATCTGGCGAGATATGGATGTTTACAACAGGTAGGAATAGGATCCACCACATTTATCTTAGGTGGGGATGCACTCAGTTACTTGAGAACAACTTACAGGCCTGCAAACTTGCTTCTTTTTGCCACTACTATTTGCTCTAGTAAATATACCACCTCTTAACAATGCATTAATACCTTTGCAAGGCGCAACTTTCCTGTTGCCATCCCTTGGAAGTATGTAAGTAGATTGATAACAACAAAGAGTATTCACTGAATGCAACAAAATCACTTGTATACATAAATATTCTTAAAACTAGAACATCAAAACACAGAAGGCAAGGACTTGCTGGATGAGTATGATATATAGCCTACAAGATGCTGCGTCAGTGTTCAGCCCACAAGTCCTTGTTATATTGTAAGACAGCCCAAATAATAAATCAGCACATTTTAATTTTACAGCAGGGCCAAAATAAACAAAATAAAAACTTGCAGATCTTTATTATTTTGGAATGATATGCAATAAAAATGAAAGCTATGAAAAAAAGAGAGCAAAAAGTGCATGACCTTTAACACGAGACTTACAGCCCTGATGGTTTGTCTATGGCATATACAAATAATGTGCTGATGCATAGTCCACTAAGGTCATGAGACAGGATGTCAGTGAGCTTAGGTGCTCAACAAAATTATCTGTGCAAAGTGGTGTGCTATCTTCATTATTTTTAAGAGGGAATATGGCCATAAATCAAAGTCTCAGGATACATTTCAATTCTGCAATTTGATGGGAGTAATTTGGAAATACTCTTGTAAAGGCAGAAGCAGGTTGCTGGGTGCTCAAAAACCTAGCCTGCAACAAGCCATCTGAGTGGACAGCTCTGGCTAGAAGATTCTAGTTTTGATGTCCCACTCACCAGGCACGCCACGTTGACCTCTTGGTCCTGGAGGTCCGGGGGGTCCTTCATCTCCTTTTTCACCAACCACACTATCATAATACTCTGTCTTAAGAGAAATATGGTAAGAAAAGAAAGAATAGTAAGAATGAAGAGAGAAGCACAGTGCCTCATATTGAACATTTGCTTAGAACAATGTTATGATCTCATTCATGGTGTTGCGACACCATGAGACCTTTCTAATCACATGGTAACTAAAAGCAGCCAGAAGTGAAATCATAATTGTTACACGCAGATAATGCCAAGAGACCTGTACAAATAGATGGGGCTGGGATTTCAGCCCAATTCCTCAACTCCCAGAGAACTCCTCTGCCTGCAGATGCAATTATACAGGCAAAGTATAAGTTGGTGACCCAATCATGAATATTATGATAGCATGAAATAGAAAATATTCTTGAAAGAAACCTTTAGGAATCACTTAGGCTATTCCATTGGCTCAAAGCAGCAGCAGCTATATCTAGACTACTCTTAAATTAATCATACATGAAAACAGACAAAAATCAACTACTTAAATCACATGTGCATTAAAAAGTCATTCCTATAAAAACTAATAATTTATTAAAGTTTAACACTATGACGTTCAAAGTTTCTACAAATGACAGGCAAAATCAAAATGCTATTTGCTTTAACTCTGTTTTTTTATAACTACAAATTTTTGCTCTTTTCTGAATTGTTTTGCATAGGCACCATTACTAGCAAATCAGTATTATAATAACTATTGTGCCTTGACATATAAACATCCCACTGAAATTTAAACAGACTACTAATGCACCAATTTTAAAATGAATAAAAAACTGCTTAAAATTAGAATTCAAAATTTTTACTTTTCTCCTATTGATTTTTTGAAAAGCAGTGATTTTTTTAGTACTCTGTTAATATCACAAATGATTTAGCTTTTTACAAAGTTATTTCTTTTGAACAATTTGGGCAGAAGGTTTCCATTAGGTGTGCATGGGGCCTTTAAGAAAGCCACTAGCAAGACAGTATGACTAGACAGAGAAATTGTACGCATAGCATCCCTTGCTTTCTTTAAAAAGTCGTCTTAGGATTTTAAAATTAACACCACCTGTTCTGGAACTGATTAGAGATTGGTGTAAAAATGAATTCCTGTGAATTTTTGTAACTGTTCTGTACAGTCCAATCTCCTGCCGAAATTCTTGGAACTGAGTGAGGTCTAACCAGGCCCTGATCGTGCATCCAGCTCTACATGAAGCAAAATGCCATCTCTGTGAGACTCCCAGCGACATCAGTACTTTGAGAAAGCCATGCCTCGATCAGAGTATCATGGGACTTCCGTTATTGCCTCATACAGTCAGTTTGGCTTATTCTTATTCTAATGGTTTAGAAAAATCATATGATAAAGATAATTTACACTTACTCGACCACAAGCTCCAGGTGGACCAGTGTTTCCTTTAATCCCCTTCATCAGAGGACAGAGATGGATTTGTTTATTAAAAACAATGTATGACATGACATTTGGTACCCACTGTTACTTCAATACATTGCTTACAATATCAAAGAAGAACTACTGCTCCTGACCAGTCCTTCACCACCCCCATTACCGTTCCTTACACAATTATTCAGTCACCTACACTAAAAACTACAGGAACACTCAGCAGGCATAGATGAACACCAGTTCAAACACATGATCTATTTCAGCTGTTCCATCCCCTATTCCATGATATCATTACTTGTCATCTTTTAGGTAAAGTAAAACATATTGCATACACAGTGATAAATAAATACACCTCATCCTCATAAGCAACAACAAAACCATTAGACAATACCTTAGCTCCTTGCCTGCCAGCCAGTCCTGGTTTGCCCTGTTCACCCTTTTGTCCCTGCAGGTGACAGTACACACTTTTATGAGGATTAATCTTTTAGCACTGTCATCAGTAAGATCTAAAATGGAAAGCTTCAATCTTTCATGGCGATGGCAAGGTGAATGTGACTTGCTCTGGGGAAGAAATCTCAGGGAAAGACTCAGTTTGGGGTACAGTTCCATGTCTGTGGGAAATACCGCAGGTCTCTCATCCAAACCTGCCTTTATAACAGCACACTCCACCAATCCCAAGGAGGAGCTGCTCTGGATAGCACAAGTGTAGGAGACTCTGGTTTGTTCTCCCTCTGCGAACTACTATTTCTGAAAGGGGAGAAACTCAACACAATGTGAGACTCTCACATTCAGCAACTCCCTCTCCCAGAACTTGGTCAGTCTGCATGATGGGGCTGATCTCAAGAGGAGTCAGCAAGACCAGGAGGGAAAACAGTGCAAACTACTGCTGCTAAGGCTTTCTGCAAGTGTATACATGCAAAGAAAAGGGACTTCTCAGAGGCTTATGCAGTTGAATGCACTGCTAGCTAGTAAAGTTGAAATGGGGACAGAGCAATGACATGTCTTTGTCATAACAGAAAGTTTTCTTTCTGTTAGCTGAGGCAGTAGAGCTTTGCAGTCTGTCATTCCACGTTCTTTGTTACACTGGAATGTGTTTAGACTGTCTGTGAAGGTTGTTTTGGCATGATGAAGATGATGTTTTAGTAAGATATATGTGAAATGGGCTATTCTGACAATAAGAATTTTGATAAGGTATTTGTAAGGTCACTGTGACCCTAATGATGTCATTAAAGTGGAAGTGAAGTAAATATAAAAGAATTGATACTTAACCGATTGAATACAGTATTCCAAATACATTTGAACAACTTTAGCTTTTAAATTAGTACACAAACAAGATCATTTTGGTTATAAAATGGCATATTTTAAGAATTATATGATGACAAGATGACAGTTTTAATAGCTATCAGTCATCTTGTTTCAGGCCAAGACAGCTGTGACCTTGGCAATAACTTTTCTTTGTAAAAGAATGTCTTTGATTCTAGTGATTAAAAATTACTCATTTTGCTTCTTGATTTATGCTGAAGTGAAGGTATAACTCTTCTGCAAAAATTTCAATGTGACTAACCAGAATTAAATTCAGTAGAATTAATTTTGCGTAACTTGGACCGTGTCTCAAACTCATTAGATAGTCAGCAATAAGCAACAGGTCTTTTTATTTTACACAGAAGAGATAACATCTATGAACCGAGCCTCTCTCTCCTGCATAAAACTATGAGGACATGGTATGTCCCAAGGCCAGCTGTGCAAAAGGAAATGTTTCACAGTGTATGCAAATCAACATTTTCAAACACACTCTGCAACGGAAAAAAGCTGTGACAGGAAGATATGACCATGATAAACAGATGACTATGACTTAGAAAACATTTAGAAGGTTTCCTTCATTACCGGTAAGCCAGGTGGACCTGGGGCACCTTCTTTTCCAGGTTTACCCTACAAAGGAAAAGGAAAAAAAAAAAAAAAAAAAATTAAGAAGATCAAAAGAGGGGTCATTACATTCCAAGAGCATAACAACTAAATCCTGTGCATATAACTGCATTTTAGGTCTTTATAAATTTTGAAAAGCCATTAAGGTTATTTTTAAAATGTGCATTATTTTTAATCATAACTAATGTTTATAAAACTCTACAAAACAGGGAGTAAGATATTCCCTGGACATTCTTCCTCCTGTGGAAGATTAGTTGAGGCAGACACTTCACCAGCACAAAGTGCCAGGCAAGTGCAGAAAGCTTGGTGCAAAATCAGGTCCTTGCAGAAGCAACACAAATGATAAAACAATACAGCAGCTAGCAGCCCTTCTAATGGGGAGCATGGAAAGATACTGAAAGGAAACTTTTCTCTTACAGGAAATGGGGATTAAGAGATGACTTGAAGAGAACGTATTTAATGAAAAAGAACAGGGAGTGCACTGCAAAGGTACTGGAAGTAGGGCAGTAGACGGAAAAGGGAAAACAGAAGGAGGCAGCGTGCCAGAGGTATCTGCTGTTTTCCATGGTGCACACCACACTAGGCAACTTTCTGCTGGGGTTCTGGCATCTAGTGGCAACAATACATGTTAAGCAATTCATAACAACAAAAAAAGAAGGCAAAGAGAAGAGAGAGAAGGGGGAAAAATGGGAGAGAAGGACATGAAACCATAATTCTGAATATGGATACCTTACTTGCCACCTTGAAGGCAGAAATGAGGAAAACCTGGTTCATTAAAATCCACAGCAGGAAGGTAGTGATAAGATAAAAGGGAAGTGGAAGATTATGAGCTCAGAACAACAGGGGAGAAAGTACATTTTAGAAATTTGTTTTGCACAGAATACATCAATGAAATGTAAAATAATTTTGAAAATGATGACCAGACCATGAATTACGATGTAAGCATCAGAAAAAACAGCAATATTCAAAATATGGCAGAACTTAACCAAAGGTGACACTCTAGAAGAGAAGAGGGGGAGCTGGGATGTCATCGCCACAGGCTCAAAACTCGCTTGCACAAAATAATAATTTTTTCTAGAATGTAAAATCCAGAGCCATTTGATATTTTGTGCTCACTAATGTAATTTCAATAGCAAAAGGAAACATTTTGTTTTCATTTTAGAATAGCCAGTCAATCAATGTCTTAACACTATTAGTATTTCCTTAGCATTCTTCAAAGTCAATAGGCAGAAAAGCAAGGGTGCTCTACTACTTCCTCCACTAAGAAGGAAGGGAGAGGTGAGTTAGGAAGAGTTCTAAAAAATACTGCATGACAGGACAGAGCTTTTGCAAACAGAAGACATAATATGGAAGAAACACAGAAGATGGAGGAAGAATAACACACATTGGATATAGTAAAAATAACAATCAAGTTGCTCTATAGCATCATCATCGTTATAGCACCATACAATTGAAGAAAGAGCAATCTACAGGTAGTACTGGTCTTGTCTTGCTACCTTTCCTTGTGGAAGAAAATTTATTGCAACGACAAGAAGTATGGGAAAGGTTTCAAAATATGTATGTTTGGACTGAATGAAAAAATATTATTTAATTTGAAAATTATTTTTCTTAATATTGCTTCCAAAATGTATTTGGAATCAAAATGGTTTGTTCAGAAAATGTCACAAAACATTTTGATTTATTTGGATATTTTAGGATTCTCCCCTAATTACATATTGGTAAACTGTTATGAGTTCATACAGTTTTAGTTACCAAGAACTGCATCTTTCATTGATTAGTTTTTTATCTGAAAGTTTGAAAGCCATTTGAATGCAAAGTGGTACCTTTCTATTTCATTCTCTTCAAAATGTCGATATACTAAAGTAAATTATATTTTAATGTGTATGCTTTTTAAAATAAACACATGATTTTTTCTCATGCAGCCATAAAATTATGTAAGATATTATCCTGTTAACAGAATAACTCTCTTATGACAACTTTCTTCAAGTCTCCACATACCCACTGGTTGAGCATACTAATTTAAGTCTGCTGCCTTAAGTAAACCCAACGTTTTTAATTCTCTTCTACGTACACACTGGCACTATAAAGCCACTATTTGTTCAGAAGAGCACTTTTTGGTTTTTTTACTAAGTTTCAACAGTAGAACCTTTACAGCAAAACAAATAGAAACACATCCACCGTCAACTGACCTTTACTTCATGTACTTATGGTATGTAAGCCTGCAAGAACAGTCATCTGACTTTCAGCTCTCTAGTCTGGTTTACCGGACGAAAGAGCTTTTGAATCTAAGAAAATTTGCTCTGAGTAGCATTGAAACAAAAACTGGAGAGCAACACTAGTGCAAAACTGCTTTTCAGGCAAGACTAACATATGTGTATTCAACTGATGCACGTACCTGTGCTCCGGGTTCTCCTTGGTCACCCTTTTCACTCTGAGAATCACCAACCGGCCCCTGTAACAAAACCACCCTCAAGATACATATATTTTGAGACTCTCATTTTCTAAATTAAATATATCTTTTATAATTTTGTTATCTTTAAAAATGTGTAAAAATAAAGTACAGTTAGAATGCTATTAATAGGTATTCTATTCTATTCATTAGTACTATTCTATTCATTAAAGGTTGGAATAAGTAGTGTAAATACTGGACTCTAAAGAGTAGCATTTACTAGATAATGCTGCCTGAACATCTGGATTTAAGGGATTTGCTTCTGGTCACTTACTGTAAACCCCATTGGCCCTGGAAGTCCTCTTGATCCTTTTTCTCCTTTCTCTCCTTTCAAGTCCTATTATACAGAAAAACCAAGTTAACATGGTCTCTTGGATTTCTGTGCTTACCATATCACTCAAGTGTTACAAATAGGAAATCCTTACGTTACCAGCAAGCTTGTTCAGGCAGAGATGGTTCTACTTAAATGATTAACAGAAACAGAAGCTTCACATCAGCACTCCTGCCTAAGTCTATGATGTTTGAAAAAGAAACTGGGTCTGCACATATTCCTGAACATAGTGAGTTCAAAAGGACCTACCTGTGATGCGTGCAAGGGGACTACCCTACTGTGTAGTACTATTATATGTTGGGCCACATCCTAAGGTCATTGTCAAGCCAAAGTTTATGGATTCCTAATTATTACCTGGTTAGACTCATGTCCCAAACTATTTATGTAAGGAGTTTTGAGGTGTTTTTAAGCCTTAATGCCCAATGTCTCTGAAAAATTGCCATTCCCCCATGATAAACTGCTACAGCTGTGACTGGGAAGTACTCCAGGTGGTCCATATTTGATTTAAACAGGGAAGAGCTGCTGTGCCTAAAAGTTGAACCTTGCTTCTGCAACCTTTCTCTTCTCTCCTCAATAAAGTCTTGATGTAAAATTCACTTTTTATTTTAGCACATAATGGAGAGGGAGTTTTGGTACCTCCATGGATTAGATGAACAAGTTGAAGACTTGTTCTCTTAATATGTGAAGACTTAAAACTATGTATCAACTACTGCTGTTTAAGTTCTATACAAGGACAAAATGCAAGAATTTTAATTCACAAAGCAATATTTAAAATGAAAGCTGAATCAGAGTCTTTCCTTTCTCCAATACTCAATGTTTTCCCAACACTTTCCATGATTACTCATGTTCCAGTAAAAACAATGAGAAAATGAACTATGAAATGTACACGAACATGTTGTAAGGTTTTGTGAAACTCTGGTAGCTCAGACACAGCTGTGTCTTTGACAGCCATTCAGAAAATCCATGTTGATTTGGTGAAACCAGAAGTGATTTATTTTTCATGTACTCAGAGATCCACAGCAGGTGGGTTACTAATAAGCATTTAGCATTCCAGTGGCATTGTGCAGATGTGCATGTGAATACACAGGCCTCAGCTGAGCTGTCTGTACAGACACACTCTAAGAAGAGCTTAGGATCTAACTAAACAAGTCTGAGAAAATGTTAGGATGGGTAAAAGGAAATGTTATTGGAACAATGAAGGTGAAAATATTCTCTCAAAGTAAAACCTAGTAAAATGGCTTATCTGAATGTGATGTTTAACAATTTTACTACCGTCATGTTGTATGGTCCACTTAATGTCACAATAACGGTTCCTGGTGGTCCAGGGGGTCCAGTTAATCCAGTGTCACCCTTAAAAGAAAAAATAAAAATAGAGCAATTACAAGCAGTGTGTTTTTATTGTTTCAAATTACCATTGCTATACTGTCGACATCAAGAAAATTTTTCTCTCATTACACTTAACCATTAATACAGTTAACATTTCTCTTTGCTTGCTATTTATCTTCCAATAAAAAAGGAATATGGAAGACTTAAGACTACTATGACAACCTTCTCCTAGCTGAGAAATATAAAAATGCATATGCTGATTTCTGTTAAAGTATCTAGAATTAGCTTAAATTTTTAATACTATTTGCTTAAAAGTTATACGACCATTTTACCTTTAAATCAAATAAAAATATCTCCTTGATTATAATTTTTCTCCCAATTTAAGTCAATCAATAAAATACATGAACTGTCTTTGGTAACATCCTCAAAATTGCAGTCTGTGTATTAGAGAGATGACTGTAACATAGTGCTGACAGACAAAATTACCTTTCACGTGTTCTTAACCAAAAACATTAATAACACAGTACACTTTTTCATTAAGGATCTTTTAGAACAGGGAAAGTCCTAAATGTGGTCTTTCCTGCGGAGCTCAACAAAACAACATCCGTAATTTTCAGTGACTTTAAGCCAGTGGAATGCCTTTGTATGCACTTGCAGCATAACAGCAAAGAATGCATCACTCTCATAAGAAAGTAAGATGCTCCACGGTCAGCTGAGCTAATGCCAACGAATAATCAACTCCATTTACAGAGATTTTCCCAGGAAACTTCTAGCACATCCCCGGTAGTAATTACAAAGTTAAAACCAATCCCACTGTCAGACAGTGCTGTTTCAGTTCACAGCTGAATCTGTTAGCGTAACTGTGAGATGCCCCAAGTTCTTGAAAGGATCCTGTAAGGACATTCAGACTGACTATACTGGTCCTCCAACTGCAGGCTGAGGTCCTGAGAGACAATATATGTATCTGTAGTCATTTCTAGCTTAATGTCAATTATATGGGATACAAAGTAAGAACATGGACAACAAATCATCCAATTTTTATTCAAAATCTGGGAGGTTTTCTACCATCATAAAGGCTGACGCTGAAAAGATGTTGGCCATAAGAAGTTGTGAGTCTACAGATGCTATATATTTACCAATGTTTAGATGCTTAGATAAGCATTTAGGAACATCATGCAAATGATATATAAATGAATTTAATGCTATCTGTTAGTACATACTAACTATTGGCTCCTCTTAGGTTTCTACCCTTCTATCAGGAAGTTTATATCATTGGCTCTTATGTGAAAACAGTTTGTCCTTAGATATTAATTGCCATGTTTCCATTTGCCAATAAAAGACTTCCACACATATACTGAAAATTTTTATTTCACTGTACTTACTTCCCCAAACATTTCACCATTGTATATCAGAAAAAGCAGAAAACAGAAACAAAACTCAAGAAATGTTTTAAGCATTTTATACAATTACCTTTCTTCCTTTGGCTCCTATTACCTTCAGTCCCATAAGACCCTGTAAAAAAAACCCCAAATGTTGTTTTTTTTTTTTCATTTTAAAAACACCTACAAAATGAGTTAATAGATGTTACACATAATAGGAAGTTTTAATTTTTATTACCAATCTGAGACTACCTTAGGTCCAGGAGGTCCTGCTTTCCCTGGCATGCCCTACAGAAATGGAAAAAAATATTTTTTTAATTTAAAAAATTACAACCTTCAGCACCAGTATAGGTGTTTTGAAGTACCCGATTTTCACAGGAGTTATCTCACTATTTTTATTCTTTCTTCCACCTTTACAACTGCAATTTTGTTGTGAGTGGGTGACAGAATGTCTAAACAGTCTAGTTGCAAACATATACATCTCTCTTTCTTACAGTTATACACATTAGTATTTAAAGTTAATTTATGGGCAATTATTTAAAAATTAAAATTTATGCCTACATAGACAAGGGTGCTTCTGAAAACATGGAAATTATCATACATAAATATAATCAAAAGAAACTGAAAAAAAAAAAATCAGATGTGTGCAGAAGGATACGTATTTCACATACATGTCTCTAGACCTCAAACAAGTCTGGGAGAGTCAGGTACTTCTACTTGTGTAACTCCATAGGTTTCTGGGAAAATCAAAGGTTAAAGTAACAAATGAGACATAAGTTCATACTCACTGAAGCTCCTGGAGGGCCCTGTCGTCCAAGTTCCCCAGGATATCCCTGAGTACCCTGGGCACCCTGCATATTAAAAAAGAAACAGGAATAAATCTCCTAGCAAGATTATGAGCAAACCACAACACTAAGTTCATTGAACTGAATAACAAACAGAGGAGCAGCACTGCCCCTGGATTTCCTTTTCATGTCTAAGGATAACACAGAAGTATAATTCCTCCTCACTGCTTCATTGGTTGACATATGTTTTGAAACATGAGAAAACATACCTGTTCTAAAACTAAACTACTCAAGTGAGGATATATGTCTTGTTTAACTGTGGACATTCTCATAATCCATATAGTCCTATTCCTAGCCCTAAAAAGCTTTTATCTTTCGAATATTCTATGCAATAAATTCTACACTTTAAAGCTTCATTTTCAAAGAAATGGAAAATTAAAAATTTTGATTTTCCTTTTAATTTAATGTCCTCCATTTATTGTAACAGTGAAAAGAAATGTCTGCTCTGCCTTCTCCTATTAATCTCAATTTTTAAAATATGGATCATACTGTCCTTTGTTAGTACTCCTCTAGAAGTTGCGCTGGTCTAATCTGTTCAATCTTACTTCAAGGGGAATTTTTGCAGTTGGACTAGATGATTGTTGTAGGTCCCTTCCACCTGAACAACTCTATTCTACTCTATTCTACTTTATTCTATATTAGGGGTAAACCCCTAAATCTATGACCAGTTTTTCTCCATTTCTAAAGTATTGTTGTTTGTCTGCAACCTGACTTCCCTACCTCACTTTACTAACACATAATGGACACTATTGGTTCTGATGGCAAAATTAATTACTATTGTCTTGGTGTAGTCTGTTTTGTAAAGTCGGAAGAAAGACTTTGAATATATTGTATTAATCAGACTACATAAAACTAATTATTTTTTAAAGACACAGAATTATTTTCTGGTTTAGAAATTAGTCAGATAATTGTAAAAAATACTCTATATAAAATATATAATACA